GATGTACATAAGAACAAGACTTATCCAAACAAATAACTGAAAGTTTTATAAGATCAGCGCTCCGTTTAAAACATGTATTGATAATGTTATATTTATGAATATGTCCTGAAGATGGTTTATTAGACCGAAACGTCCGACATTGACATATTAACATTAAAACAGCATAATTTTATATAAGGATTTTTGTTTGTTTTTTCCGTATATATTTTTCTTCGTACTGTCGGATCTATATCCATATATTTGCTTATATATATATATATATATATATATATATATATATATATATATATATATATATATATATATATATATATATATAAACATCTCATTCAACTTATATATAATTAAAAATGTGTGTGCATATGTATTTGTATATGTGAGTACAAGGCATAACTGACACTTAAATAAGTTGTTCCTGTTAAGTAGTAGACCACTTAAAAGTACGTTGAAAATACTTTGTTTACATTATTCCTGTTGAATCAACTGTTTTTGCTGTTCGTAAAGCTGAGAGTTATTTCTAGAATAAATGCCTCGTTATCGATTTCTGTGAACTTTTACCATTTGTTATTGCCTTTTATTTAAGAACCAGAAAGAATTTCAAAACAAGGGAAAGTAAAAGCAAAAAACCGTATATATATATATATATATATATATATATATATATATATATGAACGACTGATCTAACAGAAAAAAAACATAAACTATATATTTGACTATTGTCTCACCTTAAATTGTTTGCCATTTAAGTCACAATTGCTTCCTCCGATCTGGGTTTGACCTTTGTTTAAATAATTGAATGCCGTGTTAAGAAAATCGGGTTTCAATTAGTGAAAAGATTTATGTTTAGTTTACTAAGACTGAAATGGTAGAACAGAAGACGAGAATTTATTTACGAAACAACTCTTTGTGAGATAGTTTAAACGTTCGAACTGGTCATCCTCTTTTGTTTGACGCGTTCATTTGAAGCTGACCTTACTATAGAAGTGCATTGCTAATATGTTTACTATAGAATTCATTAAAAATGAAAAAGATATTTTGTTGGAAATTGTTCTAATGTGCTTTCCCCCTTGCTATCTCGACTTTACAAATTAAAACATCGTACTAGATTAACAGCTACGTTTCATTATTTTGCAGCTGAAAGTGCTAGCAAGATCCATGCTAACAGTTTTTTGCTATCGAAATTCTCGCTTTTGGCACTCTCTTTTGGATTCTTGCTTTCCAGTCAACATTGCTTTTGACTACGTTACGACAGTGGGAAAAATATCTGAAGCCAAGATGCCAGGTCTGGACTAATAATATTGCAGATTATTCTTTGTATTTTATCAAGACTCTCTAAATAGATAGCAGAAGCACCTTACGTGATATGACAGCAATAATCAATGGTTGGAGGAATTATTATTATAAATATGTAAGATAAATTATGGGTGGGCAATTGTCTAACACGACACAGTAAATCTTCTTCCCTAACAAGAGACCCACAAGTGATTCAATAAAATCTTTCCACTTTATGTTTGTAGTAAATGTTAGTCCGATAATGAGTTGCTCTCCTGGATGTTAGCATCAGCCATGCTGACTGAAGCCAAACAAACTTCTGTCAGACGATTAAGAGAAAGCATTTTCGTTTCGGAGCGGGTTAAAAGTGAAACCATTTTTTCCACATTTAACAACAGATTCTTAGCCATTATTATTTTTTTTTTTTTAAATCTGCTGCCGATTTGATCTTATTTGACCAAATCGAACATGAAAAAAACGTTAAAATGAAGGGTGGAATAAACAGTTCTTTCATCACTAAAGATACCGAATTGGGAACTTGCTTACCCTGAGTTATAACTAGAGAGTAACTACGAAAACTATCTTTAGGTGTCATAATTTTATGTCAGGCGGTAATTAGCTGAAATATTGTTGGGTTGGCAATTAGCGAAAGTAAAATTTTGTCTAGTAACATTTACCTGATGGCAATTAAATTATGATAATTACTAATTTGTCGCAAATAATTAAGAATTATTTTTGCCATTACTTATTAAAAAAAGGCTGTTGAATGGTAAGTAATAAAATGGTGTCTCTCTTGAGATATAACATTTTTCCACCATTACTGTGTTGAATTTTAGTGGGGCGGTTGGTATAGGGACCTTCTCTTGTGTTAATTATCTTGTCATTATTAAAATAATCTGACATGCAGTAATTAATACAATGAGCTGTCAGGTTATGATTAATTAAAAGATAACTTGTATTTTATTAATACGAATTTATTAGTATTTTTTAATACTAATTAATTAACCAAATTATCTGTTAACCAGTAATTATTGAAATAGTCTACCTGGTAATAATTAAAATAATTATATGTGAAGTTATAATTAGTCAGGTTATCAAATTTTTAAACTCGGGATTTTTAAAATCGGGATTTTTAAACTTGGGATTTTTAAACTCAGGATTTTTAAACTCGGGATTTTTAAGCTCAGGATTTTTAAACTCGGGATTTTTAAACTCGGGATTTTTAAAATCGGGATTTTTAAATTCAGGATTTCTAAACTCGGGATTTTTAAACTCAGGATTTTTAAACTCAGGATTTTTAAACTCAGGATTTTTAAACTCGGGATTTTTAAAATCGGGATTTTTAAACTCAGGATTTTTAAACTCGGGATGTTTAAAGTTAAGATTTTAAAACTCGGGATTTTTAGACTCGGGATTTTTAAAACTGTTGCCGTACTGTGATTGTTAAAATCAATTAATCATTTATTCTTTTGTCGGTTCAGTGAAAAAACTGAATTGAAAAACAAACAATGAGTCGCCCAATCACGATTGAGCCTGGCTGAAATGTTTCATATAATATTTCGTTTTATAATGCAAGGGGAATATTTCAGTATTTCATGTTGCAAGACGCGAAACACAGAGGATGAAAATTTCAGTGTGGAATCAATCAATCAATAATGATCACTGTTCTTTAAAAAAAAAAGAAAATCGATGCTAATTTATGAGTTGCTTGTGTCTGAAGCGCTTTGAATAATTTTACCAAATTTACAATCAATTAAGCCTAATGAAATTACAAAAATATTATTGACAAACATTCATTGATTTATCAAGATTTGTACATAAACAGAAAGAATTGAGAGCCTTAAATGAGAGTTAAACAGAGAAAAATGAGAACGTTAATTGTTTCATTGAAGAAAAGATGGTTTACTTGGAGGCTGAATAGAATGCATGAACTCCAGTGCTCCGGGTTCGAGGTAGGAACAGATTCAGAATTTGAAATATAGAAAATCTTCCATATTTGGAATTAAAAGACAATATTATTTTTATGATTATTTCTATTCCAACTTAAATTGCACCCCATAAGGCTTAATAAATATCTGTTCGAAATTAAAATTAAAATAAAAAAAATAAACAGTACGTACGTATAATTATTTTATTGATACACTGTATTTTATTTTAAAATTAAAAAATAATGTACAATTGTCAAATTTGGCAGGTGTTTTAATAACGGTCTGTTTTCAAAAAGGTTGATTTGGCGGCAAAAGGAAAGAAACGGTAACGTATTTGTTTGCTTTGCTCATATAAGGACTCCTCGTGACTTGTCTAGTCTTAGCCATGCATTACACAAGTATATAAGGATGAATTCAGAGGGGGAGAGATCAGCAGGGAATTCGATAGAGTTCGACTGTTTTCGGCAGGAGGTTTTAAAAGCGTTCCTTATAGAAGGGGAATGACGTTGTGGACTCTTCCACAAGCTAGGAAATGCACTATTCCTGTTATAATTTTCACCATCACAATCTTACAAATATATAACAAGTATTCATTGGTCAATCACCTTCAATCTAGCTTGCTGATTGGTCAGTTCCGACTAATCAAACCACCTGCACACGATCAATTTGTTTTCCCGCTCAAATGCTGGCAGCCTCCCACGTGGAACACGACCATTGTATAAACAGAACACGTGAAGCTCCCTGGGTAGTTTTCGTCTCATTCCTTGCTACCAAGTACCAAGATGTAATCTTCAAGAACTCCCGTCCTAGCCATTGCGGTCAGGCGTTAAAGACCATTACCAACATTCACGCAAGTACAAACTCTGAAATCTCTTCTCAACTTTTACCATCTTGTACAATACACAATTCCAAACACGCTAAAGAAACTTTATTCTTCTAAATTACAGTTTAATATTACTTCATTTTAGTATGAACTCAGGTACAACTATTACCTAATCAAAGGGACACGAATCTGTCCTACCTTTTTAGTCCGCATGCATGTATATCAAATATTAATAAATTCAATTGTTATGTTTTGAAATCATTCCGTTCAGTTTTGTATTTTATACTATGTGCTATTTACGTCAAATATAAATTGCATTGCCTTCACGCATTGTCCTTAATCCCACCTTTCCTAGCCAAAGTCAAATATTGATAACACTATCGCAACAATAATGGTAACACCGTCGCTACAACGTCATCATCCCTTCCTCCTTCAAATCACTGTCATGTCAAACAGGAAAATGGTGGACGTCGTCATGGCAACTGAGTTGTAACAAAAGTCGAAGCGGTGATTCGTTCAAGAAGAATGCAGTTTGTTGTAAGCATAAAATATCTTTTCATATCCTCGGCAGAGTGTGCTGAAAATTTTAAAGGATTAAATCAAATTCATAACCTGTTTTTAAGACCCCTAAGAATCGATTGAAACTTATAAAAGTTATAACAGTTAAGAATAAGACGAAAATATCTGAGTACCCCTCTTTTTTGTATTTCATGCAAAATAGCTGCAAAAAATCACATAGCACTATCAAAACCATTATTAGTGCAATGTTTTATGTATGATTCTTTTTCGTGGTTTTTATTGTAAATAAAGTTTGTCTTCCATGAACTTCAAGCGTTCTCGTCTGTTTCTTTTGCTGTCTTGGGTATATTGAAATTTAACTTTCATATCGGACTTGGTGTCGCTTGTTCCCGAACATCTTGTAACCGTTCACGATCACAAGCGATCAACTTTCCAACTCATTCTTCCGATATATCAGGTGGTCACCCTCGGGGAGGAGACAAGTGCAAATGCCTAACAAGCGACACCAGGAAAAATCGGATATTGTCACCCCCTCTTTCTCTTTGTTTTTCTCTTATTCTCTTTTTTCTTATATTTTTAACATTTTCTCTTTCATTCTATTGTCTATTGATTTCTCTTTGCTTCTTCCTTTCTCTTCTCTTTCTCTCATCTATTAACCTTTGTACCCTGACCTCTGACTTTCCTTTCGATCTTTCCATAGTTCCCAATTTGACTAATTATAATGGTTTATTCATTATGCCCCAATCAAGGCGACAATGCCCCTAACATCAGATTTTGTAGCATATTTACAATTGCTCTTACTGTAGAGCTGATGTGGATTTACAAAACTAAATATAATGAATTACAATCCCTGTGCCGTTTGAATTACGTTCTTTCGAAAGTAAAAATGTAAAATTATGAGCTTCTCTTATTCTAAAGAATTAGCAAATTACATTTTCAAAAGTTAACGAGCTAAATTTGTCAACAGCTATAATCTATCTATGTTTCTATTCATCTATCTATCAATATTTCTCTCTGTATATAGCTATCTATCTATCTATCTATCTATCTGCACAAAGATAGAAATCAAAAGACAGATAGAGAGAGAGTGAGATAAAGAAAGAAACAAAGAATAGAACGGACTGAGATAGATAGATAGATAGATAGATAGATAGATAGATAGATGTGAACAAGCAGAGATAGATAGATAGATAGATAGATAGATGTGAACAAGCAGAGATAGATAGATAGATAGATAGATAGATAGATAGATGTGAACAAGCAGAGATAGATAGATAGATAGATGTGAACAAGCAGAGATAGATAGATAGATAGATAGATAGATAGATAGATATGAACGAACTGAGATAGATAGATAGATAGATAGATAGATAGATATGAACGAACTGAGATAGATAGATAGATAGATAGATAGATAGATATGAACGAACTGAGATAGATAGATAGATAGATAGATAGATAGATAGAAACAGACAGCTATTCTTCTAAAATCTCAATACACATAAAATATCTATTATTGATCGGTGCAGAAACGTGAAGAGCTATAAATATCTGCTAAAGTTTAAGGATGACGCGTATCGTTTTAAATCGCTACCTTTTTTTGCCCGAGCTCAGCATCTTCTTGAGTGTGATCTAAAATCAATTATTTCTATTGTTCGACTGACCAGAATCCTCACCTTTATTGTATTGATCAAAGGCTATAAACATACGAGATTCTCCATGCATCCAAGGCTTATGCAAAGTTCAGCGTTCAAGCATTTTTATTATTGCACCTGTCTTTAGAACAGCATATTAATCTTCATTGTTTGGATTGCTACTATCTAACAAATGCTTGCTTTCATAGGGTTATCGAGAGTTACAGTATCAGCTAAAGTTATAATCCAATGAATTGTTAAACCCAACATCCTAAGTCTTTTTAACGGGCGTACTCTGCGGCCTTCATAGTGTTTTCTAAAATCCTGACATCAATTGTCAAAAGGACATCTTCAAACAACTTTATTATCTAAATTGATTAGATCACAACATTTTGAACAGGTGCGCTCTACGGCCGTCTTAATGTTTGAAGTTGAGAAATAAACTACTTTTACTATTCAGTGAATAGTTTTACTCTTACTCGCTTTCTTTCTCTCCTTCTCTGTCTCTCTTTCTCTGTCTCATCCACCTCTCTCTCTCTCTCTTTCACTCTCTCTCTCTTATTCTCTCTCTCTTATTCTCTCTCTCTCTTTCTCTTATTTTCTCTCTTATTCTCTCTTTACTATTTTTCTGTTTCACTCTATTGTTACTAGATTTCTCTTTCTCTCATCCATTAACCTTTGATACCTGACCGTTCCTTTCCTTCCATCATTTCATAGTTTCCAATTTGACTATTGATTTTTTTAAAAATCATTTCATCACAAGCAAGGCGCTAATGTCACTAAGATGCAAGGGATGACTCAAAGTGAAAGAGACGGAGAAGACTTCAATAAGGAAAAAAGAGAAGAGTATTCAAGAAAATAGAAAATTGCGATTGATTTAAGTTTTTGAAGATTGTAGTTACCATAGAAGCAAGAAACTACATTTAGCTATTTCAGCAGTTAAACGATGAGACCTAATTGCCACTCTAGTAGAACGCTTAAATTCATGCAGTCGACGTGCCAAAGAAGAGAGTTCCTTATAACAAAAGTCATGAAAATATCTGTGGAAAAAAAACGGAACCGCGTCACAGCAGTGGAAAAAAGACTAAAGCCGAGATGCCAAGTAAGAACCGATAACATTGCAGATTCTTCTTTGGATTTTGTCGAGAATCTCGAGATGTATAACAGGGGAAACAGACCAGATATGGCAGCAAGATTCAATGCATGGACGAATGGTAGATTTATAAATCTGCAAGATGGATTCTAGCACGAAAAATTGTCTGATACGACATTGTGAACCAACTTCCTAGAAGCCGACTTAAAAATTCACTTCATATCAAGAGGAAAAACAAGACCAAGAAGGTGCAATGAGTTGCCGTCCTGGAGGTTAGCATCGACCATAATGACGGAAGACAAGCATGTTTCTCTATAATGATTATAAGAGAGAAGTTTACTTTTGGGGGAGTTAACATTTCTAACACATTTCTTGACTCAGTCAGTAATTGATTGGTGATCATTTTTCGAGAGTAACTTCCTAATTTACTTTATCGGACTAACTATTAAGACGTGAGTAAATATTTGTCTCATCAGCATATATGCCTAGTTCGGAACTGATGACATCGTGAAGGTGGCTGATGGCATTGGAAAGATCGTTGAGACATAACGTAAAATGTATCACCAACAGATGACAATGCTTCAAACGGATTGAATTGAGGAGGGATTAAGGATTTACTCTTATCCAACACACTCTTATAAAGACGCGAGTTATCACTTAAACGAAAGTTTTGAGAAGCTTTACAGTGTCTCATTCTATCATTGAATATCGACGTTGCCTCGTTACGGACACGCTTACACTCATTACGAGCGGACACAATGTGGTGCCTGTTACGATCCGAGCTGTCACGTTGGTAAAGCGAGTAATTCCTATCGACTATAGCGACTGAAAAGGCAGGAGGAAACAAAGAAGATATTTAAATTTTATTTACATTTTTTTTTCTGCATACAATGTGCGAAAGTAAGTGTGATACCCTACCCCCATCAGCCGCCAGCCAGGGGATGTAACACAGTTTCGGTGGCTAAGGCGGTACTGTTATCCATGGTAACACCAGCCAGGCTAATGTTTTGCGGTGTAGACGTGTTAGTTAATTTATGTACATATTTATTAACATAATTATTTACATACTTTTATTTGATATACATTTTTCCATTCATTTCAATAACAAATTCCATCAGATATGGCGCCATTCCTGCGCTTGATCAGCCTGTTTTTACAAACCATTAATTTTTGTTCTTTTTAAGACATCACCTTTTATTGGGCAAATAAAAGATTTCATATCATTTTAAACATGGAACAAGATACTTCTCTTGACTATTGCTGAACAGAGTTCAAATTCGAGACATTTATTTAAATTTGCTTACGATAAAACGAATTCAGAAATAAGAAAATTGCATTGTGTCAGTTTTTTTGTTTTTTTGTTTTTTTTAATCGGAAAGTTCTGTCTTCATATGACATCAGAATTCGTAATAATGTTTTTTTTTTGTTTTTTTTATCTGTAGAATATAGATTCAATCAAATTTGATAAGGAAGGTCTATGAATTAAATTTCGATTATTTGTGTCCAATGTCTGGTTTGGTTTAGAAGGATTAAGCTGACTGCGTGTTTCTTTTTCTTCATTTTTTTTCTCACCAAAAGTTTTTTTTTTGTTTTTTGCTTTTACACTTTGCTTCTATAATCTAAGCAAAATGTTTAATGCTATAAGAGAAGAATTATAAATTTTTAATATTCACATCGGCATTATATTGAGCTTATCTCTGCAGATCGATTTACAAAAAAAGTCTCCCGAAATCTCCAGCGCTTTCTTCAGTACTCTTTCCGATTCTAGAACTCTGGTTTAAATACTTCCAATCGTTCGACTCTTAAAATATTCATTATGAAATCACCTCAAATTCTATTGCACCACTTATTATAGACACGAGTCTCAACGTCTTTATTGTAAGTTATTGGTTTAGAGAATTTTAAACACTCAATTCTTAATCTAAAGATTCTATTCATGCAAGACTACATTCCTTCATATTCTACGAAGATTTCTTTTACAAACACATATTAGTATCTGAGATGGGGTATTATGTACACTATTTATATTATTCGAACTATTGTCCTTATCTTTGTCGCCATATTTATTACAACGTTTTGGCCCTTCAGTACCTGTCTATATTTCTGAGATGAGGTATTGTGTACACTATTTACATTATTTGGAATATTGTCCTTATCTTTGTCGCCATATTTATTACAACGTTTCGGCCCTTCAGTATCTGTCTATATTTCTGAGATGAGGTATTATGTACACTATTTACATTATTCGGACTATTTTCCGCATCTTTGTTGCCATATTTATTACAATGGTTGATGAAGACATTAGTTTTATAATACCCAGAAATACACAGATGTCTTCAAGGACACATGGCAAAGTGGATCAAGGCGTTGGTTAGTGACAAAACCCAAAGACTGTGAGTTCAATACCAGGCTAAGTCAGTGTAGAACATGCAGAGGGTAATTAACAGGAGATAACTAATAACTGACATCCATTATAACACGGCACGTGGAACTAGAACAGTCTACCCCAGTGAGCGAAATAAAGGGTTCAGTTCGACATTCCAACCAGCTGAAGAAGGCCGGAGCTTACGACGTTGTAATAAATATAGCTATAGTCCGAATACTGTAAATAGTAACATGTATTAATGTTATGCATCGTTTGGATTATAAAAAATAATCCCCTGAAAAACAAGTTATTATCAATATTTTATTAAGGATAGATATTATAATCTAACATTCAAATGATATATAATATATATCGTAAAGAATTTACAAAAAATTGCTCGCTTATGACCAATTGTCAAAATACTGACTTGCATAATAACATCTGAGATCATTCGAAGGACTACACATTGCAGTTTATATCTGTGGATTTACATGATTATTATCATTATTTGGACTGTTATCCTCATCCTTATTGTCATATTCACAACAGTGATCGCTTACTCTCCGGGTTCGTTTCGAGATTCCAATCACCTGAATAGGCCGGAGCGTACAATGGCCGAAACGTTGTGAATATGACAATATGGATGAGGATAACAGTCCAAATAATTAAAATAATGTAAATAATCATAATACTTCATCTCAAAAATATAGACCTATATTATTATTATTATTATTATTGAGTAAGAGAGCAGCGCATCACTAAAATGACTGTAGAATATACCCATCATGCCAGGCGGTCTGATAAAGGCATATCAAGCACATGCGCGATACAATGAGAGGTTTTGCTAAAAACATTGCATAAACGTACCAGTGAATCTAATTTAGAAAATCCCCTTTAGATTGGCAATAGAGTTCGCTGTGAGTGTCTCTTATTGACGGTTTTCCCAAATATCTCAATTTGACTCTCAAGT